TTTGAAAAGCCCTATACAAGCCCTTTTTTTTTTTTCTTTTTTTTTTTTTTTTCAAACACTCCCCCAGCAGTGTTAGTGGTGCTGATAAGAGCAGACACCACTAGCACCTGGGGAGAGGCTCCATCTATTGGTGGGGAGCATCACCTGCTGGAAAGCGGGTCCAGCGTCCCTTATACAGACTTTTTTTTTTTTTTGAAAGCACCCCCACCAGTGATAGTGGTGCTGATAAGAGCAGGCACCACTACCACCTGGAGAGAGGCTCCATCTATTGGTGGGGAGCATCACCTGCTGGAAAACGGGTCCAGCGTACCATTTACAGAATGGACACCCTCAGAAAAACATGCTGGAAACCGGGTCCAGCGTCCTCTCACTGACTATCCTGTACTTTTCCTATACACAGCCCAGGGCGTGGGCCCTACAGGGTTACTGGGGGGCACCAGTAGTCCCTGTTGGCCCCCTGCCCCTGGTCACTTCCTGGTCACTTCCTGGTCCCCCTATCGCACTTCCTTCTGAGGATGTCTGAGAGTGTCTGAGAATGTCTGAGAATGTCTCTCCCGCACTTCCTTCTGAGAATGTCTAAGAATGTCTAAAACTGTCTAAGAGTGAGTATGTCTAAGAATGAGAATGTCTAAGAAATGTTACGACTGTCAGAAAAAAAACGCAGAAAAAGACGCAGGGAGAGCCTGGCACAACCATAGGAAAAAAAGCAAAGAAAGCCTGCCACTAGTCCCCCCCTAGTCCCCCACATATACCTCCAGGGCCAGCGGGTGAGGGGGAAAGGGATCAGGGAAGTCCTGGGCGGGTTTCAGCTGTTCCGTGGGATCCACTTTTATCCAGTCCTTGAAGTGAAGCTGATAGTCGCGATCCCTTTCCCTTTCTCGTTCCTCTTCATGTCCGTCCTTCTGCGGCTGGTCCAATCTGTCTCCTGTCCAGCTTACCCTCGCGACCCAGCCCTCCCTCCTCCCTCCCAGCCAGTCCACACAAAACCGGGAGATAATTTTATCGATGTCCGTCTTGCTGTGCACCTGCTCCAGGTAGTCCTTTACATTCTGCCATTGTGCCATAATTTCGTGCTGGAAAAGCAGTCGTATCTGCTCTGTGACTTCCCCCTCTTCCACCCTTGCCCCCTCCACTTCCATGATACACCTCCTCCACCATATGGTCCAGAGAACAGTACGTCTACCCAGGGAGTACATGTTTGCTGCAAAGGTATTGTCCCGAAGCTGGGGGCAGTGCCCCAGCAAGATTGCCCTCCAGTCCCAAATCCATGGTAACCCTGGAACCATGTGTCGCCAGATCCTCTCCCACCATCGCCATGATAAGACGGCAGCCGGGCATTGCAGGAAGATGTGCTCAATTGTCTCGGGGCGCCTTTTTTGGGGGAAATTTTGGCGGCAGCTCCGGCACCATGGGAGCGCCCTTCCTTGTTGTTCCGACTTATACAAGCCCACTGTTTTCATTTTTTTTTTTTTTTTTTTTTTTTTTTCACATTTTGATTTCGAAGTCTCATCTCCAAGGACACGTGTAACGAGGACGAAATCCTTGGATTGGAATGTCCATCGGGACATCCGTTAAAATTGGAACGATACTGAGAAGGGTAATTAGGATCATGGCCCCTGCGCTTGCAAGGATGACACATGTCACGCATAAATCGATACGAAATCCTTGGAATCGGGTCCCGACGCCCTAAGCCCCCTAACTACGCCCTTTGTAGCAGTCGGGGGCTGGACGGGTCGTGTCCACTTCGAGGTCGTACATACGAGAAGTCAACGTGTACTACCGGTCGCACGGCGGTGCGGGGAGATTCCCAAACGTTGGCGCCATCTCTTCTGCCGATTTCAAAAGATAAAAAACGCCGTCGCCTGTCAATTGGATTTTTTTCAACTCTCCGTTCCCTCTCTCTTCCTCCTCCTCCAAATGTGCAAAATGAGGATGAATCTTCCCTCGTACATGGAAAGATACACCGCCATTTCTTTTTGTCTTTTGACCATGCGGTGAGTAGTGGAGCGAGCGACGGCCATAGGTGCCACACCCTCAAGAACCGCGTACTCACAACATTTGTGTGTGTGTGTGTGTGTGTGAGAGAGAGAGAGAGAGAGAGAGAGAGAGAGAGGGTTGCGACGGATGCGAAGGTGACGGAATGAGACGAGAGATGGCGGAGCGTCTTGAAAATAGTAATTAGTAAAATAATAAAATTCCCATTTTTTTCTTCTTTTTTTTAATTTTTTTTTCAGAAAGGTGGCTGGAGGAGAAGGGTAGGGAAGCTTCTGGCATAAAGTGAGTCGTGATTGAAAAAAAACGAAAAAAAAAAACAAGAAGCTTGCCGAAAGAAAAGAAAAGAAAAAAAAAGGGGTCGTTGAAAGGTCGGGAAGGAAGGTATGATAAATCACAAGTCGACGGAAGCTTCGGTGGAAGATTCAGTAAAGGACAAGTCGACGGAAGGTTCGTGCGAAGATTCAGTAAATACGAGATGACAAGTCGGGGGAAGCTTCGTGCGAAGATTCAGTGAATACGAACGCGAGTTAACGGGATCGCGGCGATGGGTGAATCTTCCCTCCGCTGCTGCCGACACGCACAACAGACAAAAAGATATGGTGGTGAATCTTCCCGTGTTCTAGGCGAAGATTCATTCTCACGTTTGCAGATTCCGTGAGTAGTGAGTGGAGCGAGGCCTAACAGCGGCAAACGTAACAGGGAGGAGCAGTCTGAAAGTTCTCTCATAACGGAAGGGAAAGTACGGCGGTATTGGGATCTGGAATAGGGTATATAGTTTACTAGGATCTCGAGGGGTAGGTATCTTGGGGGGGGCGATCAGGAGGGGTATAATATTGTGTGTGTGTGTGTGGCGTGTGGGGGGGGGAGCGATCTGGAGGGTGGTGTAATATAAATATCAGGGGTCTCTGGATAGGAGGTTGGGGGGGCGGACGGGGAGGGGGAAGGGGGGAGGAGGGGCGGGCGGGGTATTGAGTATCGGGATCGCGGTGATGGGTGAGAGTTACGACATGGAGCGCGCGATCATGGCAGTGGATTCGAATCCCAATTCAGATGGAGAATTGGGAGGTGGAGGAGGAGGAGGAGGTGGTGGTGGTGGTGGCGTCGGGGACACGCGGCAGGTAGTCGTTGCCGTTGTGCAGGCCGCCTCCGTGGGCTTTGACACAGAGGCGACCTTGCAAAAAGCCGAGCAGTTGATTGCCGATGCCGCGCGCGCGAGCGCGCAACTTGTCGTTTTCCCCGAAGCGTTTATTGGCGGCTATCCACGTGGCACGTCTTTCGGTGTGGTGGTGGGGAACAGGAGCGCGCAGGGGAGGGAGGAGTTCCGCAAGTACCACGCGGGGGCCATCGAGGTCCCCGGTCCCGTTACCGACAGGCTAGCTCTGGTCGCGATGAAGGTCGGGATCTTCGTGGTGATGGGAGTGATAGAGAGAGAGGGAGGTACTCTTTACTGTACGGTCATCTTCCTCGATCCCATGAAAGGCTACGTGTCAAAGCACAGGAAGCTCATGCCGACGGCGGCAGAGAGGTTCATTTGGGGCTTTGGTGATGGGTCCACCATGCCCGTCGTGGACACGCCCATCGGCAAGATCGGGACCGCGATCTGCTGGGAGAATAGAATGCCTCTCTTTCGAATGTCTATGTACGCGAAGGGGGTGGAGATTTACTGCGCGCCAACGGCCGACAGTCGGGATACCTGGCTCTCGACGATCCGCCACATCGCGATGGAAGGGGGCTGTTTTGTCGTATCTAGCAATCAGTTTTGCAGGAGGAAAGATTACCCCCCGCCGCCAGATTACACGTTCGTCGCGAGTGCGTCGGGATCGGGGGAGATGGAGGTGGTGGAGCTCGAGCCCGATGACGTGGTGTGTAGAGGGGGCAGCGCGATTATCGCCCCCTCTGGAGAAATTATAGCGGGGCCTAATTATGATGGGGAAGCGATCATCACAGCCACAATAGACTTGGGCGATATTGTCAAAGCCAAATTTGACTTCGACGTCGTTGGCCATTATGCCAGACCCGATGTCTTCCAATTACAAGTGAAGGAAACGCCCAACACAGTGGTACGGTTCGTGTAGTATATACAGTAATAAGTAAAACAAAAGTAGGATAAAAAAAAAAAAAAAACGAAAAAAAAAAACAAGGAGAAAAGTGGGCAATAATGTATCGTAGAATTTGTACTGTCAAAAAAAAAAAAAAAAAAAAAAAAGGGTTGTCTTTTACTATTTTGAATTTTCTTGATCCTTCCTTTTACCTTTTTTCCTTTTCCCCCAACGCCCCACCCTGCCTTTGCCAGTTTGCTTAGCAACGTACATTCCTTCTTTTTCTCCCCCTCCTCCTCCTCCTCCTCCTCCTCCTCCTCCTCCTCCGCCTCCTCCTCCTGCTTGTGTTTTTCGTTTTTTCCCCCTCCTTTTGCTGTCTTCGTCGTCTTCTGCGTCTTTTCAACGTCTTTCTGCTTTCTTCCTTCTTCTCGTTCTCCTCCTCCTCCTCCTCCTCTCCTTTTTAACTTCCTGCTCCTCCTCCTCCTTTTTCCTCCTCGATTTTCTTGTTTTTCTGCCGGTTTTCCGTCTTCTTCGTCTTCTGCAACTTAAAAAAAAAAATGTTGCACTTGTTCTCTAACGTCCTCCTCCTGCTGCTCTTTCCTGCTGCTCCTCTTTCCTGCTGCTCCTCTTTCCTCCTCCTCCGTCTTTCTACTCTGCTTTTTCTCTTCCTCCTCCCTCTTCTTCTTCTTCCTCTTCTCCTTCTTGTTCTTGTTGTCCAGTGTCGATGTTCTGTGGTTGCCCGTCACCATCTTTTTTTTTTTTTTTTTTTTTTTTTTGGCCGTCACCATCTTGATACGCAAGGGAATATCATTTTATGAGGCCAAATGTATGGATAAGATAATTTCACGTACGGCAAAACAAAAGTTATATAACGTTTTATTTATTTATTTATTTATGATAGCGTAATTTCAGGTACGAGAAAAAAGAAGTTAAAAAAAAAAAGTGAAGTAAGTGTAAAGACAATGATGCGATGAATCTGCGCGAGCTTGCAGTAAGTAAAGAATCGGTACGAATTTCGCGCCGATCGGCACGTCGGCATTTTGCATGCTTTTTTTTTTTTTTTTTTTTTTTTCAGGAAAGGAGGCAGTCCGGTTTGTGCGGTTGCTTATTGCCCCCTGTTTTGTTGTATTTGGCTGTTCCCTTCCTCTTTTCTTTGCCTCTTTTGCCCTTTGGCCGTGTGCAAGTGGGTCGATATGGCACACTTGGGGGCCTGGGGGCAGCCGCCGCTCAACCTACTTCCACGTGGGCGGCTTTGTACGCAAGAGGTTCTGAACAGGGGGCGCGCCTGTAAGGAAGAAGATACAAAAATGAATTCTTTTCTTTTTTCTCTTTTTTTTTTTTTTTTTTTTTCGCTTTTGCGCTCTGATATTCTTGTGACAATATATATCTGCATGCAGTTTTCATCATGCGTATTGCTGTCAATGAATTTGACCGGAATCACCCACCCTATACGCATGATTACCATTGCTAGAAGAAAATAAAAAGTAAAACATTGCAGCTATTTGTTATTATTGTAATAATTTTTTTAAAAATGCAGATTTTCGTTAAATAACAATAAACCGAGAAAACTGCCGGATTTCCGTTATTCTGATTTATCCATTAATAAACCGAGAAAATGGCCATATTTCCGTTATTACTATCAAGTTAGTTTCAACGGTATTAATATGACTTCGCACCCTTCGGGGCGTGCCTGATTCGATCATTCAGTCTTTTTTTTTTTTTTTTTTTTTTTTTTTGGTGTTTTTTTTCTCTTTTTTTTTTTTTTTTTTTGTTTGCTTTTTTTTTTTTTTTTTTTTTTTGGGGGGGGGGAGTGGGGAGGAAATGACAGTCGTTAGTGCCATGGATAGTTATCGCCCGACCCTGCCACCACATCGCTAGATTCCCGTTTACAAATAACAATAACATTTTAAAATTCTAATAATAATACTTTTTTTATTGAATAATAATATTCTCTCCCTATAGATCCCCTGACTAGCGGCCTCTGGGCGAACCAATCGCCACGTGCAGAAAAGTCAAAAATTATGACGGCGTATCTTCCCCTATTTTAGCGAAAGATTCATTCCAATTGTGTACCAATTGGTGAGTGGTGCGGCGATGCCCTTGATCTTTTCCATTCTCCTGGTGCTCTTGCTTTTTTTTTTTTTTTTTTTTTTTTTT